CTCTGGGGAGCATCTCTTTAATAAAACTCTTGCACACAAGTCCTCATCTCAGGTACTGCTTTAGGGGAACTGACCTAAAATTCTGGGCAATGGAAAAATTCAAGGTATTTTATGCTAATAGAGAGAGGGGCCATTGTTTCTGAAGCAAGGAATGTATGCATGCCTACTTTATCAATCAAGATCTCAGAAGAAAATAGTGGATAAACTCGAAATTAGGTATTTGGAGAATGGTTAATAAAGGGACTAATTACAAAAGCGTGGACTAGGTGCAGAGAAAAAAGGAGAGTGTCTGCCTGGAAGCTGATATCAGGGGGCTATCGCCTCCCCTAGGCCTCGTGAGCACGAGGAGGGCTGGTGACAGCGGTGTGGAGAGGGCTGTGCGACAGGAGCTGTGTTTCCAGAGGATGCAGCCAGCTGACAGAGACCCCGCAGGGAGCAAACTGGGTGGACTAACACTGACCTCACACTCCTTCCTCCCTCCAATCTTTTGCCAGTGACCTTATCAGCTGAATTTAATGGGACTCCCGGGCACAAGGGAGCCCCTTAATCCGATACATTGGGATGGCCTTGGGGCAGAGAGCAGGTGGAGAAGAGCAGAGAGGGCATCTAGAGGGACAAACAGAAGCTATCCAGCACATCTACCTGTTTTCACACACACACACAAACACAAACACACATACACACACACAAACACGCGCACACACAAACATGCGCGCGCGTGTGCGCGCACGCGCACACACACACACACACACACACACACACACACACACAGAGTTTGGCCTGTTCTTGACTTTGACCTGTGACCAGATACATATAAATAGGCACTATTTTTTCTCTCTGCTGATCTTATTTTGTCTTGTCTGTACTTCTGGGGACCCAGAGATAGGCTGCATGATGTGGGGAAAGGGACCTCAATAATCAAGAATCAGACAAAATACATTTTTATGAAAGTCTGAGTATGTCATCCGGGCATCTCGGCATTAGCCCCCAAACCTCAGCCTCTAAGATGGCATTTTTTATGGATTGAAATAGGACTCGCAGAGCTCACTGCCATAAGATTTTTCATCACTTTGGCCTCAGTATTTTGGGGCAAAGTGGTCTAAATTATATCCTTAGAGAACCATTCCCATTCTCTCCCAATTGAAAACAAAATGCACTTCAAAGATTTATGTTGCTTTTGTAATGATGTATCTAATTGCTTTCTCATCAATCCAGGTGCAAAGGTGCTCTCATTATTCAGTTTATTCCCAAATGTTGTCATTATTGGAAACAATGCTCTTTTCCGATTGGTCTCATTTTCTGTTTTTGAAATGGCCATTTTCTCTGCATTCAGGTTTGGCTTGGTTCAGAATATAAAGCACTGTGGAATGTGCCGAGCGAAGACAAAAGCTCCCTCAGTCATTTCAAGGCCTTTGAGATTAATCATGGAAAAAACATGGGTCCTCAGGATGCCGGCAGGAGCTGATGTGGGTGGGATGAAGGATGGAAGAGGGAGAAGCACCACTCCCACCCATCCCAGAGGACAGGCATCTGCTCCACTGCTGTCCCGGCCTCCGCCGCACCCCCCCACCCCCCGGGTCCCCTGCAGATGTGGATACAGCCGAGTAGGAAACAGGTGGCTGTGGGGCAGGCATGAACAAATGGCCAACAGGGTAGTCATTTCAAAGCATTAAAATAGTATATATTGGGCTATTTTCTTCTGAAATTGTATTTCTTAAAATACTTTGGAGGTCCAAATGTTTTAGAGGGTGGTGATTTTTAAAAACATTTTTTAAACTCTGTGTTTCATTCCAAGAAGGCTGTTTGCATCACCCATGAACCTGCCCAGGGGGCAAGCCCTGGGGTGGACAGCCCAGCCTAGGGGCCTGATGCAGCCACTGTGTGATCTAGAGCGAGGCACCAAGTCCTGCTGAACCCCGGTTCCCTGGAGCCACGGGAACTGGGTGAGATGAAGCAGAATCCTCTTCTTGTTCTCCCACTGCACTGCCTGATACAGTAGCCACTGGCAGCACGTGGCTGGTCTCAATTGAGATGTGACCAGAAAAAAGATAACTCTGCAGACCCCAGGAAAGGTACAAAGCCTGAATTTTCTCTTTCTTTCTCCCTCCCTTTTTTTAAATTCATTTTTGTCACCCTAACTCTTAATTAATCATTACAAAGTTACTTCAGGAAGAAACAAAGAATAACTTTCTCCTCCCTGGATTGTTCTTTAGTTAACTTTTTAGAGCTTTTAACCGTCTGAGAGAGCCAGTCCGATACTGAACAATGTAGCAGAAAGCCATTAGAAAATGTCATCTACAAATACCTTAATGATCCTGGATCCCTGAACACACTCTTTGTAAGGCGAGAGTTAATATCAGAGGCAGAAATACGGCAACAGGTAAGAGAGAAATGTGGTTTGTAAAGGGTATTAATACTGGGTAAATGTTTACATTGCTTTTCATTTTGCCTTATATTGCATACAACGTAGAATTGGAGCTTGGCTACTGTTTCTGCTGTTATCTTCATTTTTATTTAACTGCGAAAAACTCAAGCAACAGGTTCTAAGATAAGTCGCTGCTTTCTTCCAGTGACTCTAGTCTGGACTAAGACTAACCTTTCACCCTGTGTGACCTAAATTGCAGGCACATTGTGTTAGATTATCTGCCTTGGTGGGATTGTTCTCGCAAAGCTGCGCCATGAGTCGCCATGCTCCACGCTATCCTCTCCTTTGCAGTGAGGCTGGAGGTTGTATGTAATTTCCAGTTCCTAGTCCCAGCATTAACCACCCCATTCATTCCCCTCATGAAAGAGTATCTTGTGTTTTTCAAATTACACAACCCCCACCAATTCTGATCTTCCTCCACAGGGAGTGAGGCCACTTCCAGCATCTCCTGGCCCCCAAGAGTCTCTGCTTTAAACTAGTGAGCAATCCCATCCGGATGCTTGCAGGTTAAGAAGGGATGCTCAGGGAGAGAACCAGTGGGATGAGGCTCCCATGGCAGAGACTGGGTGAAACAAGGAAGCATCTCGTTGTTCTCACCTTCTAAGACTGTTGGCTGTCATAGTCTCCAGTGGACATTATTCCCTTACTTATAACATGACACCTATGTGTGTACTCTGGTAACAGGTCAGCTATTCGCTGAACAGTGTGCATATATGCTGTGTAATTATTCCTGGACTGAACAACTCTGCATCAAGTCCATGAGTGTGCGTGTGCGTTTACCCAAGCTTCTCACAAAGGGGGAGGGAGGAACACGAACCTCTTTCCTATTCTCCAGGCACACTGCTGCAGGAAGAGCGTTTGCGTCCTAAAATAAGACTGATCTGCTTTACAAAAAATACTTTTTATTTTGAGATAACTGTCGCTTCACATTAAGTTGTACGAAATAATACAGAGAGATTCCTTGGAGACCTTTTACCCGATTTTCCCCAATGGTAACGTTTTGCATAACTGCAGTACAGTATCACAACCAGGAATGACACTAACACAACCCTGGGGCCTTATTCAAACGTCACCAGTCTTACACTCTCTCATTTGTGTGAGTCATTGAGTTCTATGCAATTTTGTCACATGTGTTCTCTGCTTTTGAGTCGCGGCTCTGCCAAGTATCAGCTGAGGGATCCTGAGCAAGCCCCTTAACTTCTCTGAGGCCAAGTTTCCTCAACTGCAAAACGGGTATAAAGACGTCTGCCGCCCACAGGCTGTGTGAGGATGGGGTAAGGTCGAGTTTCCAGCACGCTGCGTTCTCAACAAACGATAGTTCCCTTCCTGTCTACCCCTTCTTCCTTCAGGAGCAAGGGAGCGTCCCCAGCTTCTCGCTGAAATACAGACTTGTGGGTTGTGGTAGATCCGGCGGCTCCTTCTTCAAGGGAACACACGGACACTGCCTCTCAGAGAGAGAGCCGTGGGTGCCCCTCCGGCCCACAGTGCTCTGGGCCCGACTAGGGGTCCTGTGTGCATCCAGATCACAAGCGCAGGGATGGAGAAGAGCGAAAGCTGAGACCAGGGAGCCTGTGGGGGACAGAGGAGGGGTGAGGGGGTAGAGAGGAGGGGGGAGGAGTGGGGAGGCCTTAAACACCGAGCAGTCGTGGGCCGAGAACTACCAGCTCCAGCTGGGCGGCTGGTGACCAGGCCTGGATGGACCCGCAGAGGCTAGAGGGGAGTGGGGACCTGTGAGGACACGGGGGGCAGGTGCGGAAGCCAGTGTAGACCTAGCAGGAGGGTCTTCCTCGCTCCAGAGGGTTCAGAGTCAGGTCTAGAGCTCTTCCGCCTGCTGGACCCTCTTCCAGTGACGGCCAGTGGGCGCCCCGGGGCAAGGCAGCGGCTTCTAGGCCCCGCGGGCTGCAGACGTGGCCGGTGCGGCGGGCGCACGAGTGTGCAGCGCGTGGGCACGGAGAGGCAGTGGAGCTCCTCCCTGCACCCGCCCCAGCGCCCCCGCTTCCCGGTCCCGCAGCCCAGGGCCGGGACAGCCACGCCGAGGGGGCCGAGCCACAGAGCCGGGCGGGCGAGGGAGGAGGAGGAGAAGGAGGGGCCCCGGCGTCCCGGCTCCTCCCCGCGGCCCAGGCTCCGGGCGCCGCCAGCCAGGAGAGCGCGCTGGGTGCCCCGGATCCCATCCCGCCCCCGACC